ATTCATGTTGTACTGGGTTTAACATAGCTCCTAGCACCGCAAGTATCTAGGCCGCCTAGACTAGGCGGAGCGTCAAACGTGGTGGGAAGTCCATCCTCGTTGAACCATGCAGATTAATGGCTCTGTTACGGAGAGCGACCGTGCAGTGATGTGGAGGAGCTCTTAGTCGAAGGAACAATTGGCGGTACTCGTTGAGCAAGTGCACACCAGCACAGCATGCAGCTCGAGCAATGCATTCATGCAACTTCAATCCTCTCATTAATTTCTGTCGGAGATTAATGCGGATAGTCACCAGTACCGCGATGTGATTAAAGAGCGGTTCAAGATGAGTGTGCATGTACACCCCGTAGCATTCACGCGCACAGTTCGCTACCCCCAGTACACTACGTACTACGTGTACTATAGCCTGACAGGCTGGACACGTTGAAGCAGTGCCGCAGTCGCGGGTTCGCGGGAGTTCTTCAATGATTGGTGGGTGACGCAGGCCACGTTGAGAACGGCCGTCGTGCAGCAATGGATGAGACCACCTTCCACTTGAGATCGAATGACAAAATAGAGACTTCTTTACAACTTTATCAGGAGTCTAAAACTAAGCTTAAGAATGCTTCCTTTCCATTGTTATTAGCAGCGAGACTACCAGCGTCGATCTCCGTCTCAGGATTGCCTGCATTCGCATGTCAGTACACCTAGGTACCCGACTCAGGCAAATCGGTGGTACAGAAGTATCTGTGCATAAAATTATTATTATGTACGATTACTGGCAAAACCTGAGAACATCCGGCGCGAACCCTCTCAATGTCGATGCAACGCATCCTCAAAACTCCTGAACTTTTCCGACCGAAGCAGCATGATCTCCCAAACATAAATACAAGTAATTTGCAACTTCAGAAGTTCTGAGAGAGAGGTAGAGATTAATATGCAAGTATTAACTGTTAATATCTGTCTGATTAACGGTACAGTGCGATGTTGGCTAGAAGCTTCTGTGCAAGCCTATTGGATAACTAACTACCTGGAAGGCCGGCATCAGGCAGCCGCCACTGGATCAGTCTTCCTTGAAGCGGCCACGTTTGAGCAAAACCAATCCTAACTAACCTCCGGAAATGTCATCAGAGTGCGAGGGAATGCAACACTAATGATAATACACTGCGCACTGATGTGTTGGACAAACACTGCCGGTAACGCGATCAAGAGACACCAACGGGTTCGAGGAGGTACATGCAAAGCTCTGCAGCCACACGTTGCAATCTGCAACATGTTCATGTATAGGTATTAACGACTACCTGACGGGTTACCTGTACGCTGAGTGTACATACTTTGAGTACGTACAGCCTCAGGCAGCAGGGATGTGCAGGCCTGAGCGCAGATCGGCCTGGGCAGCTCGTAGCTCGTGGTTGAAGTGGGTGGTGCCGCAAAGTTCAACCGTACAGGAGTGAGTCTGTCCACAAACCTACACCTGGGAATTAATAGTGTCCCACAAATTTTAATCAGTCGCTCTTTGCTTCTTGCGAGTACATGTAGGACGTCTAGCCATTCGATGCGGTAGACCGCTTTCGTAAACGCGCCTACACGGTCGAATTAACAAGCAAGGCTTTGATCTGGGATCACCGATCTG